ACTCTCTTCCTTCTCTGTTCTCTCTACTTGGTCTCCTCTACTTCTCGCCAAGTTAACGCGCCGATACGCGCACACGTGTGCCGCTCGTTCACGCATACAGCACGCACACCACCGTCGCACGGCACGGGTCGTGTCCTTCGGACCGTTGCTGCCTCGGCAGTTAGCAACAGCACGGCCGCCACACGGCCGGAAATACCGGGTGTCCGAATACCACCGAGAGACCATTCCACCGAGGATCCGCGCGAGTAACGAACGAACGAACGATCGAGCGAGCGAGCGGCCACCGGAAAACGGGCGTCGCCGTATGCGAAGCGTGAAGAGCGAGGAATCTTAACGGCCGCCGACGCGTTAATTTCCCGTTTTGCGAGAAATGTGGCGCCCCTCTCTCTCTCTCTCACTCACTCACTCACTCACTCACTCACTCACTTTCCGTCTGTCTCTGTCTTTCTCACGTTCCGCGATCCGCCGCGGTTATCTTCGAGAGAGAAAGAAGAAGAGAAAGAGAGAAGGTCGCGCCAGGTGCGCGACGAGCCTGAATTCCTTCGGCGAGGATCATCTCGCGCGCCGTTCGAGATGCGAGTTCGTAACCGCGCGAAAGATATTGAAAGGATCGAGCCTTTTTCCTCTCGCAAGCCAAGGCGTCTTTGAAAACATCAACCAGTACTAAGGTATTACGGTCGATTTCCGTCCTGTTTTATTGACAATTGCGAGTAACAGACGGTAAATGTAAGTTTCTTCGTCCTGAACACGAGAGCTCCGTGTCCGTCGGCACATCGGTCCCGTATCGAAAAAAAAAAACGACACTTGCAGGATTATTATAAGGATAATACACCGGGAAGAATCACAGATCCGCGCACTCTTTCTTTTTCCCGGTCCCGATCTCTCTCGATTCTCGATCGGCCGCGGTTGCGATCGTGAGAAATACCTTCGGCTCTATAATATCCTCTTTCGTCCCATCCGCCGGGTCTCGAATGTACCGTGGATCCGTGCGATACCTCGCGAAAAATGATAGTCGCCGTCCCCAGGGCATAACTCGTAATCCCACCTGAGAGATTAAGCTCCTCTTTCAGGGCGAGGATCGACGGGGAAAGAAAGAGAAGAAGATGAAGAGAAAAGGAGAGAGAGGGAAACAGAGAGGGTGGAGGGAAAGGACGAGACAGAGATTTTCCTTTCTTTTGTGTCCGCTGGATAGCCATTACTCCATCGGACAATTGCATCCCGCGACGTCCGCGCTCGCCGCGGAAAATACATTGGATATAACGGTCCCGGGCGACTGCTAAAAATTGTTTGTATTCAGCGGAATTCAATGCGACGTTTAAATGCGAAGAGACTCCGCATGACATGGAAATGCCTACATGGACGGACGGTTGCGTTGTGCCGATTGGATTAGCCGTACCCGGGGGCAGCAGCCGCGACGTTCGCGCCGGGTTTTTCTTCCCTTTTCCTCCTCACGAGTCGATCCTTTGTGCATTTTATAATATACGACGTGTCCTTTGTGACGTACGTATCTCCTCTCGATCGCCGATACTGGACAAGGCGTATTAAACGTCAGATCGGAAAGATTGATGGCTGTTCCGGCGCGAAGAACGTCGTTTGCACGAGACCGTTATCGACGACGAGTCGGACTGGCCGAAACTTGCGATATCAAAAATTGCCGAATCGTGCGGAAATCGAGCCTCGTCCGTCGGTCCACTGTCTCCGTTTCGACTCAAGCATAATAATAATAATAATAAACGATCGGCGAAATTGTCGACGCGGCCGGGAAAGGATTTATCTAACCTCAGCGGGGGAGAGAGTACGACCCGATACACGGCGCGCGCGCGATCACGTCAAAAATACGAAAACCCCGCTTCTTATTCATGCCGGCGGTGCTCTATTTTTAAGCGACTTTCGGAATCGCGTCGGTCGTTCCCCTCCGCACGGCCGCATGACTCTTGCACGACCGTCTCTCTGATTCGCGGATCTTGCAGCTCTTTATAGGAAGACGCTGAAAAATTAATCCGCTCTTCCAGGAGAAACGTCCGAAGGGGCTCGCGATGACCTTTGATTAATTCGAGCGCGTTTGCCAGACGGACGAGTGTTAAGCGAACGAGTGCGAAAGGGAGCTGCATTCGCAAGAGGCTGTATCGCGGAAATTAGTTTATTCTAAAGTTGGTTTATGCCCACGTGTTCGGAAGTACTGTTACGCGAGAGCATCCTTATCTCCACTTCGCTGCCGCGATGCATTTCCGATGCATTAACGTCACAGTTTCGCGGAACGCGCGGCGCTCGTGTCTGGCGTGCGCCTCGCGAACGGGATATCATCGATCATATCTCCGGTAGCGGGTGTGTGTGTGTGTGCATTTATAGTCTCGCTTCCGCATGGCACGGTGCAGATACGATCATCGCATTTCGCTAATAAAAATTCACTTAACTTACAATCGCACCTCGTGGCAACAGCTGCTATCGTTATTCCTCCGAATATCGGCGCGATCGACGGCTTCTTTTCTCTTTCTCATTTTTCTCCATTTTTTATTTCTCTTTTTTTCTACAAGAAAGCAGCGACACAGCGGAGCACTGCTGTGCTCGATACGGCGATACGACGGCTAACGCTGCCTCTCTCGATCTGTTTCAGGAGAAGAATTCCTTCCTCAACTACAACGTGTCCTGCATCTTGACGCTGCCACCTTACCAGAGGCAGGGCTACGGCCGGCTTCTCATAGATTTCAGTGAGTATACGCCAGAATTTCCGCCCGTCGTTCGTCCTAACCTTGGCTCCGCGGTCCAAGGCGATGACGGCATCCTTCCGCTCGTCGAAATCGAAAGGATAACCGAATTAGGAACAGGAGAGCTTGCGTGCCTCACGCGGTTTCGCGACGACGACGACGACGACGGAGGACCGTCGCAACGTCATCGCGGCGAATCTGACGATGCGCTCGCCAGACGACGACGACGACGGAGCCTCTCTCGACGTTCTTGGCCATTGAACTGCCGGAAGGCCGAATAAAAAGCCTCGAGCTCGCGCGTTACTCACACATCTACACACACACTCTCTCTCTCTTTCTCTTTCTCGCGACTTGAGGCGTGCTCCTCCGCGGCTTCCCGACTCATTGTCCGAAGAAACTCCACCCACTCATCCCCCCGTGTCGCAAAAGTCACCTGCAGCTTCGAATCCGCTAATTAAAGATTCCACTTTTAGAAACTGCGACACTGCATCGTGAGAAGTTGTAATTATTTTCAGCCTCGTCTATATCCTTTTAACGACATTTTTAATTCTATCCGGGTTCTAAATGACCTCAGGTGACTATTCCCGGGTCAAGTGCGAAGTGGAACCGAATTGAAGGCTTCGATGGGAATCCACCGACCAGTAGACCACTGACACGCTATAATAAAACTTGCTGGAAAGAAATGATTCTCCCGACTAAAATTCTTTCGTTACGATGATTACAGTTACACAAGTACCAAATATCTTTCTCTCATGTCGGGAACAACTGGGGCATCACCGCCGAATGAACAGTTCCCCGGCTTTCGAGTCGACGAACAATTGAAGTTCAAATATGTTCGCTCTGATTAGTTCGGGATTGGACGGTGGAAGGCAAAGAATGGGATATACTTGAAGTGTCTGTTTGAAGCGATGCGCGGCCCCGGGCGGTGGTATCAATTATTGCCCACGACGTCGCAGCGACACGATCGCTATCGAGATTTATCGCGAGGTCACGCGCGACCGCGCAGCTCTCTTTCGCTCCTCATTGTTCAACTCACGCCAATTTCTGACGCGATTCCTCGTCTACGTAGTCGTCGCCGTCGCACGTATACACGCGTATATACGCCTACGCACACACGCGCGCGTACGGCGCCCGTCTCGACGAAGCGTAGCGTTGATAATTAAACGTGGGGCTTTTTGCCGTGACGTCATTTTCATTGATGCCGAGCGAGCTGCGGCATCGCGGCGCTACTACCGGTAGTAGTAGGAGGGGGTGCGTCGGGGGTTGGTCGGGGGTCGACGTACTGTGCCGGTGGAGCACCGGTCGGCGGGGTGGTCTCTCTCAGCCCCGCCGGCTTTTCCGCGAGCGAGACGGGCAGACCCCTCCTCGTCGGCGGTGGCATCGACTCCGCCGCCGCCGGCTGTACAAGGCCGGCGCTACGAGCTCGCGCACCCCACTCGTCCAATGAATCCGAAATAACGTTTATTCTCGCGCGGCACGCACCGTAAGGTGCGTGCACAAAGCGGTTTAGCCGGTCGGCTAACGAAATCCGGGACGCACGCTCGAATTCTTCGCCGGAATAATCTCGGTGCTGTTTTGCTGTTTCGTTATTATCGCCTTACCTCATTATACCTCCATCCATCCGGCGGGACCCGTGTTTCCCCGATAACGTCGATACACACTCGACATTCAGCCTTCCCGTGAAAAAACAAAAGAAAGAGAGAGAGAGAGAAGCGATCGATGCGTCGCGGATGTAGCCAGAAGCCTCCGGAAAGATCGAAACGGGCGGCATCGATACCACCGTCGCGGTGTCGTTAGTATCCCCGGCCGCTTGTAATGATGGTGGTGGTGAACGGTACAGCGTAGGTTGGAGAGCGAAGTGGTCTGCGGAAAGTGCGACGCCCGGCGTCTCGCCGCATCGATCGACCCCCACAGCCGCCGCCGCAGTCGACGTCGCGTACACGCGTGCAGACACGCGTACACCCGCGCTTCCTGTCTCACGCATGCGGCGCGTCCTTCTCTCCTGGGCAACCGCTCTCTCGGTACACCTTGATCCTATAGCAGATTCTCTCTCCTGTACATGCCGCACCTCCCCCGACTCGCCCTTCTTTGCTGCTTGCTCCTCGCCCTCCTCCCTGTTCGGCGCCCGTAGGGCTCTCGGAATCGTATGACCTCTCGTGACCTCGCTCCACTACCCCCACGTAGGATTGGCAGGGTCACCGACGCCCTTTCCCTACGCCTAGGAACGAAGGGTATCCCATACGCGACGGCAAGGTGGAAGGGCGGGCCGAAGAGGAGGAGGGGGCTTAGCCGCAACGTTGCTGCGAACGGGCGGGTCGGCGCAACGTGCAGCATCTCCGAACGGCACCTTCGTCAGGGCGAAGGGCGGATACGCGTCTCTCGCTCTCAGGCCGATCCCTACCCCCCGTACGTGGTGCTGCTCTTCTTCGGACCGCCGTGATATCTCCAAGACGAATCGTCCTCGCTGCGCGCAGAGAAATTGCGCTTTCCCCTCGGCGGAACTTTTGAAACGCGCCGCCTCTGCTCTCTTTCCTCCTTATTTTCCATACTGCCCCAAATAAGTATCGCGCGGTAATTGCCGATCGCTCATACAGGTAATTACCGTTACTCGCGCAACCTCCTGACCTTCCTTCCCCTTCCGTCGTCGCTGCGCGAAACCGCGTCAGAGACGAATATGCACGACGAGTCGTAAATCTTCGTTGGCGATTTCATAACGGGTGAGAGAGTGTGTGCGTCGCGAGGCAACGAGCTACTCTCGACAGTGTCCAATTTCATCGCTCGCGAGTCGCACCCTCGTCCGCCCTGCACCCTTCATCGAGCCGACCCTGCCGGGACGTTCCTCTCTTCCTACCGCGTCGCACCCACGTACCCTGTCACGCCGATCCATCTTCCTTTCTCCCTCCTCCCGACGGTCACCGCTTTCCTCTTTCTCGAATTTCCACCTCCCCCGCCAGCTCCCGCAGCCCCCTCCGCGCCGATCCCAAAAGTCTGCAAACTGAACGGACGCGTAATGAATGCGCTCAACCCTCCCAAAGTAATCAGCGACCGGGGGGAAGGGCAGGGTGAGAGAGCCCGGAGTATCGAAGGGAGAGGGTAGAGTCTGCGGAACGGGAGGGGGCGGGAGAGCGATCGCGGAGGGTAGAAGTGTCCTCTCTGCCGGCGGGAGATACACGAAGGTGGAGGAGACGGCCTGGAACGCAGAAGAGAGAGAGGGAGGAAGGGAGACATGGTCGTTGAACCCATCGCCGGCCGGGAACACTCTGGAACCGGAGGGATACAGGATCGCTTTCCTGGTCCGGGTATATCGCGTGGACGTCCCCTCTCTTCCCTTCTCTCTCTCTCTCTCTCTCTCTCTCGTCACCCTCGTCCGCGCTATAAAAGTTCTCTTGCCGCGAAAAACGTATTTAGACGCTGAAAACGGCCGCGAAAAAACGCCGTATTCTCCGGGGACCCGAGCGGGGATCGAGCTGTTCGATCGTGTGCCGTAAGATCGGGCGATCGGATAGGCGCGTAATGAATATGCACAGACAAGCGTCTCGGCGCTGGAAAGGTGAATTAAGATCGTCGAGGATTTCACACGTCGTGAAAAGATCACGGCACCTCTCTCTCTCTCTCTCTCTCCGATAACTACGCGAAATCCCAGCTCCTTCACCACTTTAGACACATTACGATGGTTATTTCGGAGACGCGTTAAACGCCAGGAATGTCCACCGCCAGTTTGCTTATCCTTTGAGACGCGGGCCGATCGGCGCCGAAAGTGCGCGCGGATTCGAAATCTCGAGACGCGATCGCGAATAAAGTGACTTCGGGAATTAAGAGAGAGAGAGAGAGAGAGAGAGTAAAATATAAGCGATTGGCGCCCCCTGTGCGTAAGTTCTCAGCCGGTAGGTAAACCTCTCAACATTTAATTAGCTCCCGCGCACTGATCCATTAGCCGCGCACGGAAGCAGCACATATTCGGAACTTGAAAATAAACGTCTTCGGGCAGCGAGATTTATTCGGCGGAAGACGGCGGCGCGCGCACGGAGATCACTTTGCTAATGAAGCAGCTTTTGAACTCGCCGCGGCGGCGGAGACTCCGGGAGACTGTAATTTCGGGAATGCGCCGGCGGCGACGTTAACGCGCACGGAACGACACGCCGATCTCCACCGCGAATCTCGGCGACGACGCCGCTCGTACGATACCGCGTTATACTCGTGGCCGGATCGGTTATTCATAATGCAAGGTGCAGTTACACACACGCTCGAGCAACTCTCTCTCTCTCTCTGTAGCGGCGAGACTCGAGCGAGCAAAACCAAATAAGCTGAGCGCGAGCGAGCAAACGCGGGCCATTAAATTCTGCTCTCCGGCAGCGCTTCTTGAGATTGACTTTTACATATTCTAGCCTTGAATCCCGCGAATTAACCTCGTCTCTTAGTAGTTTCACGCGCGGCTTATGTCACCTCACGGTGAACACGCGCGCGCCTCGTCGCATGTCGCAGGAGGCGGCACCGACTTTCGGACTCGAGTGCGCAAACACCGTCAAAATCACCGGAGGATCCTGCTTCCCCTTTCTCTTTTTCTCCGGGAAACGCGTTGGATCCACGACGTTGGGAATGTTAATGCGCCGATTAATCCTCGAGAGAAAATCCGCAGTCGTCGGCGGTTTCGTCGTCAGTCGGTTATCTATCGAGGAAGTCGCGACTTACTAATTATTCGGCGAAACTTTTCGGCTCCTTCGACCCTTCGACTCTTTCCAACCGACGAGATTAAGCTCGTTAAGCTGAGCAAGCTGCGAGAGCCCCCGCTAAGGGCTGCTTTTCCGCTCCGATTTTCGATCCCGCGTCGACGCCCGAGCGCGCGGACTTTAAATGCGCGCGCCGCATTATCGATCCCGCGGGTTGCGGTAGATCTGGATCTGGCATTTAAGGTCGCCCTCTGAAAACGGGTTTTTAACCGGTCCGTCGGATAATTCCATTGACGTGGACGGATGCGCGCAACGGACGATTTCGCCGATTCACGTGGTGGACGAGCAGGCAGGCACGAAACGCCTCGGGATGCCCTCTCTCCCCCATCTGTCTATACATTTTTCTTTGATGCCTCGTCGCAGAATACTTCGGACAAACGAGGCGGAACGGACGTTCAACCGGGTAGCAGACGGGCACCGCCAGTGCCGAGTCCGTTCCCGTTCGGGCCCTCGCTCCTCCGACGCGCTCTCGAAAAGTCGCGTCCGCCACCTGTTCGCGTTCGAATTTAAATGCGTGAGACTGGATCTCGTTGTTCGATCGCAATTCCAGAGAGCTCGCTCGCTCGCGTAGGGATCCTCGTCGTCCGCGTCGGGAATCAGCGTCGATTGCTGCGCGGAAACACTCGAATCCTCGCTTGACGTTACTCGCGGAAAAAGGGCGGAGGGCTTTCGTTGTCAAGCTACGTGTTTGCCGTTAGACTCCGAGGTTACGTAATCAAGGAGGGACCGTCTTTGACAGCTCAATCGCGGCTTGTTGCAGCGACGTAATATTTTTTATCTGATGCCTTAGGCTCCCACGGCGTGGGGAAATATTCGACTTGGTTTCCGAGCTAACGCCGCGAAATCCTTCATGGATTTGTTTCATTTCGCTTCTTCTTACTTTTCTAACAGTATCGCCACGGACCAATTACTTCTCATGTCGTTCGTGCCGCGGGAACGAGTCCCGCGCGATAATCGGGTTCGCGATGTCCGAGATACGTCCGGTCGCGGATCGTCCTTCGTCCCAGGATTGAGGCGAGTCGCCAGCCTCTCTTCAAGCGACGATGCCTCGTGAAATCGGGATTCCATAGCGCGTTTAACGGCCCTGACGGCGGGAGATAATGCGGCTCGTGAATAATACGCGAGCGCGATGATGGTGCCGGCGCGCTCGCACGTGCAGGAAATAGGCGGCACTTTGTTTTCCCTCCGCGGAAACGCACGAAGGTACCGAGACGTTGCTAATGCAACGATCGCGCGCGATTCCTCCTGCCTCGCGAGGAGCTTCTTCATCGGCGGAGGTGACACGGTTTTTGCGTTTTAAACTCGAACCGTTTCCCCCTAACTTTTCAGTTAACAGCAATAAGTCCGAAAGGGCCGCCTTTATGTCACGCGCCGGAACACGATCGTTCTGCTCGGAACGGTTCTTTTTATCGCTCGTCAAGCTGACGTGGAAAATCGGCAGCGTCTAACGTGCGCGTGTGTTCTCCCCGCGTTTGATTGCGAATCAAACTCTCTCTCTCTCTCTCGGATCGATAATCGGTCAGTGTTACATTTCGTTACTTGCGCGCAGGTTACTTGCTGACCAGAGTCGAGAAGAAGATCGGCTCGCCGGAGAAACCGCTGTCGGATTTGGGCCTGATCTCGTATCGCAGCTACTGGAAGGACGTTCTGCTGCAGTACCTCTGCAATTTCGGCGGCAAGGAGCTCTCCGTCAAAGGTAGGTCACGCGAAACGGCTTTACGCCGCAGCGCAGCTGCGCAGCTCGTTTCGGGACGGCGCTTTAAATATTCATGCGCGGATCGAAAGTGTGCAAACGCGCGGCTCCCGTCCTCTTTGAGCCGCTAATTCGACCCGCTCTGTTTTCAAAAACTGCGATATTAATTAAATCGTATTATGAATACTGCACTCGCGCTGTGCGTAGCTGAAGCTGACGGGAGACGCTTTTCCGGCCGTTTTCTCGACTTTGCGGGCGAAAACATTTTTGCTAACCAACAATGGGAGACAACGACGTACCTGTACGATGTATAACATATAACGCGTTGAAACAAATGGCAACTGTTTTTTTTTTTTTACTGAGGAAAAATAACTCTAAAACTATACAATCTTTTTTAAACGTATACTTATATATAAATTGTGTCATTTCAACGCGAAAGAGTGTTAAATATCAATTCAACAACAAAATCTTCAAATAACACAATCGTATCATGTTATATTAGCTATGTTGAAAATTCCACGCAAAACTTTTAACAAGGAGCGATTTTAACACAAGAATATAATTTTTTTATCGCGCGAGGTTTCCAAGTATTTTCTAAAATACTTACATTTTTCCGACGTTCATTCATCTCGAGGCTGATATCAGTCTGTCCAACCATTTGTCGAGTTTGACAAAAAATTCGTCGGATCAGAAGTTTGCTTGCATTTACGATGGAGTTTGCGCAGAGTTATACAAAATACATAATAATTCATGTCTCGGCGGGCACTGGTAGATTCCATTTTAGGTTTTGTGCCTCGAGACGGGGGAATCGTCAGCAGGGGATTTACACCGCATTGTTATCGATCCGATGGTCAAGTTTTCCCAACGTAACTGGTTTTAGCGGTTGAATAATTGTATCCACGGGGAAGGATAAACCGCCCTACCGCTGAAAACCGCAGCGGATTATATATGATTCATCATTTCCGCATTTTCGCGACTGCCACTACAGATCTTCATTTAAGTTTATTATCATTATCATTTACCGGGCGAACGTCTGCGTTAAATGCGATTCGATATCATCATCATTATTATTATGTTAAATCAATCCACGCGAAAAAGATACCTCTGTGTGTATGTGTGTGTGTATGTGTGCATTTTTAATCGAGGGTCTTGAAACGCTCAGATCGAACGTGACTAATTGAAGAATTCAACGGGAACGGAATACCTCCCGAAATGTATTACCCCGCGTCTCCAACAGCTCGATAATGTTCTCGTTTCTGCCGCGCCTGCGAAATGTCAATCGCCGGTAGACTCAACACGGCGTGATTTTATCGATCGCGTCTCTGTCTTTTCGCTCGCTTCGCCAATTTTATTGCACTCGGCGCCTATTAAGGTAGTTGGTCCGTAGAGTGCCGGATTTTCAGTGGCGATATTATAAGAGGATCCTTCATAAATTTATCATTTGCTGAAAAAAAAAAAAAATACTTTTCCATAACGTGATATAACTATCTAAGCAATAAATGTTAATTTTGAGAGCAAAATTAAGGCAAATATACACGCAATAATAAAGAAGATATTACTTATTTTGTATTTTTCTCATTGATGCTTATCAATCACGGAAGAGGCTTAGGTATCATAGTTGTACCTCTAGACTAATAATTATGGCTTTATGGACCGACTTTTCTTCTCATTTAATGATTATTTCTGACATTCCTAATGATTATACAATGCAAAAAGATCTGCTTCATTGACCCTCTTCTTTTCTGTATAGTATCTGTATGTTGATATCGAGATGGTTTCCCATTGAAATCCTAAATGTGGTTTAGAAGAGATTAAAGATAGAAAAATCGAAAATAGGAAATTAAGCTCAAGGAACACTTATAGAAAAGTATCGATAATTTTAATTGCGAATATCTCACCGAACGGCCGAGTCGTTTTTCCAACTTTACAGACGTGTAGGTATTTCCGCCAATATGCAGTTAAAATTTGAAAGGAGATTCCCGGGAGAGAATGGCTTTACGAACCGACTACCTTAAGCGACGCGGCGGGCCGAGTTGTTGCCTCGACGAAATCGTGCGCGTTGGACCGTTTCGGGACTTTCATCGTTATGAGGTAAACTCCTCGATATTCACGGACGCGCGCGCGCACGAGACGAGTTCAGTTCAATTTTTCTTGCAGATATCAGCAAGGAAATGGCCATCGACTCGTATGACATCGTCAGCACTTTACAGGCGCTCGGTATGATGAAGTACTGGAAGGGCAAGCATATCATTCTGAAGAAACAGGTAGGCGCCCTTTTGTTATTGTAATGTTTCGCCGCGCAGACGTAAGGGCCTCCTCTCCCCAACGTTTCGCGCGAAGAGAGAGGAGATATCGTGTCCATTCTTTCTCGGCGAATACGCGCCGTCATCGCGCCGTCAGATTTATCGCGCCTGGTTTCAGAAATCGCCGCTAGAAACGGCTCGCGATAAGCATAACAACGAGAGAGCTCTCTCCTCGTCGGGAGAAGAGCGGGACGCGTCTCGATTTTTACTCTCTCTCTCTCTCTCTCTCATGTAATTTATCGACGAGTAACCAACCGAGTCGGCCGAAATTCCCGCGCGGTATTATCGTGTCTCTATAAATAATAACGCTCGACGAAGCGCCTCGGGCGGGAACGCGTGCGGCGCGTTCTTTGTCCTTCCCCTTGTATTAATATCGCGGAGGAGGAATATAGGTGTGACGAGGGAGAGAAAGAGAGAGAATCGACGATGAAAACGTGCGGCGCTCGAAAACCAAAAAAGAAAACCCTGTCACGTAAGAGGCAGCGCGCGCGGCACTCGTTTATCAAACTTTCCGATCTCCCGCGAGTCGAACGCGAACGAGATAATACTCATACTTGTCCTCTTGGTGCTTGTTGACTTTTCGTTCGTGAATAATGTGTCATATAATCCTTTTAGACGACGACCGTGATTTCGATACAATGCGCGCGCGTGTATAAGAATAATAATAATGACAACCTTATTGGTCCCTTATTGGTCCCAAAAACAAATAGGCAATTGTTCCTCCGTGTCATTATTCTCGATTATTTCAGTATTATTCACTTCATTATTTATGTTATTAAAATTAAACCTGGGGTCACTTAAACTTCAATTTCAATCGTAGTTTTGTCGAGCCTTATTCATTTATTGAATAAGAGACAGGCAAGTAATGTTACGAAAAAAATAATAAGTAAATAAGAACCAAGAGTAAGACGAGTTTTAAAAATGGATGTGTTCGAAGGACGAGGAAGATTTCACAAACACGTTCCGTGGAAAATGCGTTCGGTGAACGTCACAACATTGTGAAGCAGAGAATAATCCTTGCGTTCGCGTCACTCGCCGCGTTATCTCCGCTACGACGAGACGCACGACCGCCAATTATCATTCGGCTAATTCGTCCGTAACGTTTTCCTCAGTCTCGACGCCGCCGTAATGTATCCGTTGACGGTCTAGAAATGTTGAACGCGCGAGCGGAGCCGTCTAGGGTAAAGGGACGTTGAAATAATTTCAGGACGTGATCGACGACTACAAGGAGAGGGTGAAGAGACGGGGCCCCGTCTACAAAGAGATCGATCCGGAGTGTCTGAAATGGAACCCCTTCCAGCCGCCCAAGACGCCCTCCGCCTCGAACTAAGGCCTGCGGAAGCCTGGAACTACGCCACCTTCCGCCTCCTCTCTTGTCGGCTCCAAACGACGGTCGATCCTCGTCGTCGTCATCGTCGCCGCTACCGTCGTCGTTCGTGTCTTCTGGTCAGTTCTCGTGAAACGGGAACGCCGCCATCGGCAGATTCCACGCCCATAACGTTCGGTAAGAGCCGTGGAAATCCTTCCGGGAAGCATCCCCTCGTCCTGCACCCGGAGGTTGCGGCGATGCAGTATCGTGTTCTATTGGCGATATCGTTAAGGCTCGCCGCAAGCAGCCGACTTTCCCGGTCGGTTTAAGAGCGTTGTATTGTGGTACGGAGTTCAATTTGCTGGCTCCGACTATTGACCGTCGCAGCGAAGAGGGCGAGAAGGGACGAGCCGCCGGGAGTATCGTTATATAACGTACGATTATTCTGTATTCCGCGAGGTGTCTACTATATACCTGAAATTCTCAGCGAATCCTCCTCCGACCCGGGAAATTGAAAATTCTCCCGGGAAGTTTTCGTTGAGGTTGTCTCCTCAAAGTTATCATTTTTATACTTCGGAACTACTGGGAATTGCACGGAACTCTTCGATACTCCTTCAAATTTAATGTTTCGTAAACGGTTCCTTTCATTTTTCTCCTCTTTCGCAAACACCGATTAAGTGACGCGATTAGGAAACACACCAGTAGAGGTAGGCGACAAATTCGTCTTAAATTTAAGAACACGCTAATTTCCTTCGCTAATTTTGTTCCTCTCGTAGAAGAAATTCCGAGAAAATGGAGGAACTGTCGGAAGATTTTTACGTCCACGGTTGAGCAGACATCTTGGTGTATAAAGCGAGTTCGTGTAAGATATCTGCACGTAGCGGATATTACTAAACCAACGGCGATAAACCTCCTTCTCTCTCTCTCTCTCTCTCCTTTCCACTACGTCGATGCTGCGCCGAGTTCGTTGGTGCATCGACCTTGGCACCTCTCATTGGTGCAACCTCGTTGGTGCAGTAAGTTGCATAACGGGCGGCGCGATAACGCGCCGGTGCATCGATCAGATTGCGTCGAATGCGCTTACAGCGAACAGTGGACCGCCGATTCAAAATCCCCGGTCACGAATTTCGTGGCAATGTGCAAAAAGACACGTGGATGACCCCGAGTTCCGTAAAGGGGAAAAAAAAAAATTATTCACGCGCGCGGCCGCGTGAACTCGAGAAAATGATATCCCTTCCTGAATCCACGTTTGACTGCTGTCGTGAATAAGATTGCTTAAGATATAAAATAAATGACACTCGAGCGATAATTTTAATATTACTGTAGATATTTCCATAATGTGCGTCAACGTGAAAATAAAGGAGAACGTATTGAAAAGTTTCGGCCCGCGTGTATTCGGTATGCTGGATGCGCGACAATTTCTCGAGCATCGAAGCCTCCGGATTGCCATGGAATTCATTCGTCACCGGCCGCTTATGCGGACAGTCGCGATGTGCGGAGGAGAGAGAAGCGCGAGATTCCCGGCCGTTTAATTTTCGCCGGTCGGCGAATAACTTCAGCGCTGAAGTGCGCGCGACTATATCATAACTATACTGCGGCCGCAAGACATAGGCACGAGAGATACGTTATTGATCGGTCTACCAAGGTGCATGCCTGGCTGCAGAACAGAGAGCGAGAAAGAGAGAGGGAGAGAGACGGAGGGGCTTGCCAGCGATGCAGAGGCCCACCACCGGCCTCGATCGCGTCGTTGTGAGCAATGTGAAAATAACTTGGAAAGCTATCGAGTCAAGGTCGCGCGCGGGTTCAATTTAAATACATCAGTGTCTCTGGTCGCGCACTGGCTGATAGCAGCTGAGCCGAGGACCGGCCGAGATCGTTTTGCGCGCGCGCACGTCGACAGCTGGAAAGAAATCCCGACGGCTGCTCATTTCGGAGTCTCTCTCTCTCTCAGGTCACAACGGCTGCTCCCGATATTTCTCCGGAGTGACGCGAACGCTCAAGGTACCGACCGGTGAAATATTACTTTCATCTTATCGCTCGAGCGAATTCGTCCGCGAACGGACGACGCGAGTCGTCGGGTTCATTCGCGAACGTCGTTAAAAATATCGCAGCTTTCGGCTGAAATATCACGTCTCCCTCCCCTCCCTCCCTCAATTTGCTCAATCACGATTGTTCCGCTCGAAGCGTTTCTTTCTCTCTTTCCTTCTCCCGCCGCGTCAATTTTAATTATTACCTTCCAGCTGGCGAGTCCCTTTGCGAACGGTAACTTGTTAACTTTAACCGGCCCGCCTCGGATTTTCCAGCTCGTATCGATCATACCTCGGCCGAGAGCCTCGCCGTGGGCGACGCGCAGAGAGAGATGTGTAAGAGAGAGAGAGAGATAGATGCTCCCGCGAACTCGCCCGACTTGGCGGTGCCAAACTATCGAGAGCAATCGCGAAACTCCGAGTGGACGGAGTGACGTGCGTTCTATCTCTCTCTCGCCGGACGTTTCGCGGCGGCGGTATCCTTTCACGGAGATTAGAACCGGTGTAATTCCGTCGAATGCAATTTCGGCCGATCACTCGCGTTTCGATCGGCGCGATAAATCATAAAGATCGATCGAGAGCGCGCCCACTACCTATAAATATCGATTAAAAAGAGTCAGCTCCGCAAACGGACGTTCTTCTCGGTGAGGAGCGGGCTTTACATGCCGCGGCTGTGTTCAACGCATGGAACGAGTCATGTATAGTCGGCGTCTCGCGTATGCTATACAATATCTTGCATAAAAGAAATACGCGACTTTTCAGCCTTACACACGGATAAGATCGAAAGTGTTATAATTGGAATCATTACAACCCACCTACCATTACGTAGTTAGAGTTACACGGAGAAAAAAAAATTAGTATCAATTCGAGACTTATATTCTCGTGTATAAGAAAGAACATATAATCTTGTATAAAGGTGAAACTTGCTTACACGAAGGAAGATCTTATGTGTTAAAAATATTGTATCATATTGTAATTAATCAAGAATAATTATCATGAAGCGAGAGGAATAAGTAGCTGAGAGAAAGAACGATATCTTCGAACCGATACAATTCTTAGTTTTCCGTGTACTTGTGCGATCTTCAACCACACGCGCTGAGAGAAAGATATAGTTATTTTCGGGGACAGTATCAGCTGTTTTTTTTTATTTTAACCACGAAAATAGTAGTAGCAACATGCACGTACGATTATTATCACTGACAATATAGTAAAACTTTGTGGAAAAATAGTTTGTTTGACCATTTTTGTGGTACGGGTTGTGTATAAAACTGAAAATCGTGCCATTCTCCGTCTAAAAGAATAACACAGCATACATGAGACGTCGAGTGTACAGTCGGCGGGGTTAAATGTCGCAACACCTTCTCGATGAATTTCGCATCCCGCGCCCAATAGGAGGATTGTTTTGCTTTAAGTAAATAATCAGAAGGTACATTTTTCTATCGGAGATGCGTTGCCCATCGGGAAAAAAATGTCAATCCGCCGGCTTGTGCGTCGCGATCCGCGATGGAAATTACAGGCACAGTACTTTTCGTCGCCTCAAGACCGTTTATTTATTTCAACGAGCGATCTCGTAGTGGCTCTCTTAACCCTTGGCTCGTCGCAACGGGATCGGTCCGTTCCACTCGATATATTTTTCTACCCGACGATTCTCCCGTGTCGCCATGTAGCGATTGTTTGTCTTCGCGGGAGTGCGACTGCCGCGCGTGACCGAACAAACAATGGCTGCGTTCAGGGCGGAGGAAGAAGCTCAGCGAGCGCTCAGTGATTATCGTCCGGAGTATTCTTCTAGATACTCGATAGATCCGAGAGAATGTACCAATCGGGAGAGCAATAACCGTCGAGCGCGCTCACCGAGCTGTTTTCTCCGCCGAACGCGGCCAATGTGAGACCCCTTCGATCGGGCAGTTGTTAATCGTAACGCTCGAATGTTACATACCATACCATACTGTAATCGATGGTGCGTGTACATATACATATGTAAAGTTAAGAGACGATAATTCAGAGAAACGGTAAACGTATATACATATATAGAGAGAGACAATAGATACGATAAAGAAAATTTTGTAATCGTTGTTGTGTCATCGTCGCGCACTGATAAGACTGTGTCGCGACGTATGCAATAATAAAGCGTAATATAAATCTATAAATAAATCGATACTCACTTTCACCTTTGGATCGCCCCCGATCACGGGGAGAACCGATCGCGAGATCGAAGAAATCAATCCGCTTTCTCGTATTTCTTTCTGCTCTTATTTATCCACATTTCCCCGGAATATTTCCGCGATTCTCCCATTTTTCGTCGGACGATTACAAAAAGTGCAGTGCCGCAGAAATGTGCGATGTGTGACGAACATGAGACGGAGGGGATGTAACGACTTGCTCGGGATCTTCGTCTTCGACGAGGAAAGCCCGATTTCTCAGATTTACGAAGAAGCGCCCGCGTAATGATCGGCGAGACAATGCGCGTGTACTTGTGCGAGAACGCATAAAAGGCTCGGGGCCGAGATTGAAGCTTGGACTTTGCGACTCGAGAGCGACAGTCCGGTTGCAGCAGTGGGTTAACAGTTACAGGACGATACTCGGAAACTCGCCGATTAGCAGTCGCGAGAACGGATGACGTCGTGGTCGCGCCGTTTTCGTGGAACGCGACTTTCCGCGCGAAGAGAAGAATGATTGCAAAAGCTCTATTTCGAAGAGACCTCTTTGACAACGACGAATCTCGTTCATCGTCATCCGATAGCCGATAGGAAGTCTGATTCTTCACGCGAGATTGCGCCGAGGGAAATCCCGAGCTAGAATTTCGATGTTTTTTCAAAATGTAAAAACTCTAGTAGCAATGCGTATATAAGATGTTTATCGCTGAAACTACAGTAACCTAAACTAGAAGAGTTTCTGCTGACTATAATTCTCCCATTTGTGCGATTATAGTTACAAACACGAAAAATGTTCTCAGTGCGGAGCAAAACTTGCTCTCTCGTCAACCGACACAATTTAACACGTGGCGGACTAATTTTATGTCACTTGTCCGCATGGGCCACTTGATCCACGAATATAGATCGTGTCAATACCACCCGGAACTTTACGCTGTGAAAAAATGTCTAAAAAATATAAACATTTATTCGGTGACTGATGAGATATTTATTTGATAACATATTTATTCGAATCTAAGTTATCTTATTTAAATATATGTACATAATAAGTAATTGCTTTCGAGAAGCTACAGATTGAAGAAGATGTATAATTCCCTCGTTTGAAACCAATTTTTTCTCAATATAAATCTCAATATACAAGTAAATACGCAATTGAGTATCCACCGAAAAAACATTTTATGTTCCAGATATGTTTTCTCTCAACATATATTAATAAGCTTTGCACATTTGATTTTAATACGGTTCCTTCCCGGTGTAATTTGGAACGCGGCCAATAGAACTTGTTTTTTTATAATTTAACATCTCATCGTGCCGAATAACATGGAAAGAAAAGGTATTCGTGCCGTATTAAGTATAGCGACGGGGCTGGTAAGTGAAGTGTTAACTAACTAAACCGCTCGTTCTCGACGATCGCTCCCGAGATCAGCTGTGAGCGAGGCAACGCGGTTGTTACCGAGGCGTCACCGCCGCCTAGCGCGGAGAAACAATTGGCGATTGACGCCTAGAGCTAACGTACGGACGGACAATGCGATGAAAGGCTTCGCTAGAGGCTACTTCGCGCAATCGGACCGCCGTGCGATAAGGATATTGAATAAAATTCCTTCACGGGCATTAACCCCGCGCGCGCGCGCGGGTACATTCAGTCCGGTCGATACGGCCCTTTTAGTGCTCGTTAAAGTCGTCGTTAAGCGCGCTCGATTGACTCGTAATTCCGCTTTAATTTCTCCCGTGCTAGGCAGAAGACGCTCCTACGAGGAGGAGAGGTGAACACGAAAGCCATTGGCGTATCCGCCTTGCGGTCGCAGTGAACCGCGACCACAGCCGGTCGTTCGAACTTTTTTTCTTTCTTTCCTCCTTTGCCTTTTCTCTCTCTTCCCTCGCCGATGCGGCGCATCATCGGGAAAAAAAGCAACACGCGCGTATGTACACGGCGCGTAACGCTATCGATTTCAATTAGCGCGAAAAACGTGGAAGAATCCTCGACACGCCCGAACGGTCGAAAAAGTGGAGCGACGACGATTCGTTTCCCGATTCCGTTTTCGAGTTCCATGAATGAGCCCGTCTCTGAAAGCATTCGAGGCCGCGCGAGTCGCTTAGGTAGATTTACGGCGAGTAATACCGTATTTTCTCGGCGCGCTCGGGGCGTGGCCGAATAGACCGGGATTACAAGCGGTCAGGAAATTAAACCGGTAATTACGCGGAGATCCGATATTAATTTCCGAGATTCTTTCGTCGGGAGTCGATGCCACCGAGTGATAGCAATTCACCGGGACGGTCACGCCGCCGCTGCGAGCGATTCGCACGGGCTGTGGCCACCACCGTCATCCTGGTCGTCGTCGCGTGGGCGCGAGCGAGCGAGCTAATCACCGTCTCGTGATAAAACCTCATAGGTGAAAATTTACGGCGGTTACACATATACGTACACTCGGACGGACGCGGGAAAGTAATCAACGCGGTAATAAGCGCCGGTAATGATTACCGCGCGTAACGCGTGCCAGTGGGGGGAAGAGCGGGCGAGCTCGCGTTTTCTACGATATTATCTGCCCACTGTATATAACGAAGCCCACCGTCGGCTTAATGAATATATCAGCGTTATAAGTTGACGTCATCACCGTTTATATTAGTCGGCGAGTCGCGGCACTCGCGACGATCGTCGGGTTCCGCCGGCCTGCTCTTCTGTTTTTCGGTAAAAGTGCGACCGATCAATCGCGATCCATCTATGGGCTTAACGTTCCGTGTTGTTTCGCGTGGACAGAACATTCGAGCACTTTGTGTGTGTGTGTGTGTGTGTGTATACATACAGGATGTCGGTCGCTTAGTGTCTCATCCGTCATATATTTGTAGTTCAGTGTGAAGGAAAAAGTTCTTCACCATTTTGCAAACAATCATGCAGAATTCTGAGTTCTCAAAAGGCTTCTGGTTGCTCGCTGCAAATGTCAAAGTATATTACGGTATATGTCGAAATAAAAGGATATTTTGTATACGCACAAAAATTAGCGCCTTAATTATTGGAAATAGCCACATGTATAGGGGCTTCGTTAACCCTCCGTTAGACGCAATATTTTTTATTCAGGAATGATCGTAATATATCTCGCACGTACACACTAACTTTTCCCATCATTTTCCCCTACTTCTTGAAACAATTTTTTCTTTCATTAGCACTTTGCTAATAGGCCGGGGACTAAAGTACATAAAAAACAATGAAGAACGGAAGGAAAGAACAAAGGAAAAAACATTGACAAGGACAGGTTCGATTTTGTGACAACGGTGATACGTTGTAGCCTGAATGTATATTTATTAGATATTGCGACTAACGGAGAGTTAATTAACAACTCAAAAATTTGCATGCTTATTTTCAAAATGGTACAAGACTTTCTATGTTCACATTGATCTAAATTATTACAAGTATACGACGGATTGCAGAAAACACTTGATAACAGACACTCTGCGTATGTACGAAAAGTGGCATTCATTTTCAACGATTTTCTCGACGCACAAGATACCCAAATAGGAGAATTTGTTATCCCCGATAATTCTTCCGGAACGTAAACTTTTCCGTTCAGGTACCGAATGCGTCGCGAAGTTCATTAAGGCTCAGAATGTTGTCGGCCTCGCTGGCGCGCGCACCGTTTTACAACTCGCGACGTCCTCGCCGTGTCCGTCGTCTTCGATCACTGCTAATTAGCTCGTCGTAAAAGAAACCCGACAAGCCGCGTCGTGGTCGCACGGCGCTTTTTGTCGTTCTCAGATTTCTACACGGTGGGACGCGACGTGCGCAAACGGAACTGAATAATTGCGTTATGCGACCTCCTTCCTCCCTTCTTCTTCTTTCCCAATCACCCTTTCTTCCCCACTCCTAGCCCGGCCACGCGACCCTAACATAACGTCATTATCCCATTAGTTCACGACGGGATACGCGACGACTGTGGGCTCCTCTCCTTCAACGGACAAATATACACACGCGCGCGGTTCAACAACGTTCCGTGCAGCGGCCACGGAGCGCGCTGAGGCGAGCTAATTTTATTTACTGATTAACAAACGTCGCGCATTATCCTACCTGTCGAACTTGTTTTCTTCCGCTCTCTCATACGTTGCCAAAAATAGCGAGAAAAAAGAAATAATTGCGCACACTTGTTCTCACCCTTCGATTAATTTCGCGAGATTATTATTATTATCATTGTTCTTTATTTCTGTATTGTATAAATTAATCTCTCTCATTTGTCCATCCTATACATATGAAACACTCGGCGCTTAAAAGTAGTAGTGAACGAGAGGGAGATCGGTCGGAAGGGAATGAATCGCAGGGTTTTCGCATGGAATTGCACAATCTCGCGCAAAGAGTCGCTTAAGCCATCTTAACCCTTTAGTGCGCACATTTTCCTGGAAATTTAAATTTTCTTGCAATCATTACTTATGGATCTTTGGAGTTCCGGAAAAATCTAATAGGGGATATACCGGATACATAAGACTAAGGGAAATCTTTTCGTATGCTCTCTTACAGAAATGTTTAGTGTTTGTTTATTTCACTAAAAAGGCGTAGATAGACAACGAAGACACACAACTGCTGCTTCGAACTCCAAATACTACGCAAAAAACTACGCATGAATATATGCAATATTATTGCTCTTTTGTTAATACGACGAAAACACCATCGACACGCTACCGTTCTAACTTCACGCTCGCGCGCGAATGACTATAAAGAAAACCGAAGCATTAAACAACAGCGCGGCATTTAGCGATAAAAGCGTGAAGTACGTTTGAACGACGTGCTTCACAGATGTGGAAAACCGTGCGCGTTTCGAAATTCGAGGATGGGAGACTGAATATCAATATATAGTACATATATTTCGCATATATGCAAAGCGGCACACTAAAGGGTTAAATTCGAGAGAAAAAAAAATAGATATATATAAATATTACAATTATACAATAACAAGTTACATTAAGTTAAATCTTCGAGTCACGAAATATCGCATCGTGAGGTTTTACACCGCGTTCCATCGTAGACGCTTTTTTTTTTTCAATGAACAAGAGGCGAAGTTACGACACAGGCGATTGTATGTGTGTGTGTG